CACGGTCAGACCATCGACGCCAAGGAGTACTGCGCTCAGCTGAATAAGTTGAAGTATGCAGTGGCGGAAAAGCGATTGGAATTGGCGAACAGAAAAAGTGGCATCTTTCACCATGAAAACGCCAAACCATATACTGCTTTAGTGACCAAGTACAAATTGAAATGTTTTGACTGGAAAGTTATGCAGCACCAACCGTTCTCCCCAGACCTTGCGGATCTATATCTCTCAGATTAATGCCGACGGTACTATCTTTAATTTTCAAGCCTGATAACTTGAAAAATACTTATAAAAAAATATTTTGTTATAATGTTTTAAAAAAGTTTTAAAATAAGTTATAAGAATATACAATGAAAAATAGGAATATATGAAATTTAACCCATTAAGTCCTAAATGGACGCTTTTTCGTGGCTTTTTTCAGGGAATTTCTTTTCTACGAAACCGGTTTTGCAAAAATTCCAGAACAATCATTTTTGACGTAAAATTGTGTGAACTTTCATAATCTATCAACAGAATTTTTCAAAAATGCGATCCGAAAAAGTTATGTTTATTTATTTAAAAAGAAAACGGATTTTTTTCACTCAAATATTTCTCCTATTGATATTTCCGCATCTAATTCGGATGAGGATATCTGTAGGGAGTAAAAATCTTGCGTCCGTGGATCCTAAACTTCAAAATGTATGAGTGAGTATTTTGAAATTCAAAATGGTGCCATCCAATATGGCGGGTCAAAGCCGAAAATTTTATGCTATTTTCGATTCTTCCAAGCACAATTTCTTTTGATGAATTTCCCATGAAAATTGGTTTATTGAGGTTTCTTGGGTCGCTGATTACAAATTTGTAATCAGATTCTCCGAATCCAAGATGACGGACCCAAGATGGCGGACGAAAATTCTCAAAATTCTTTAATTTTTATAAAAATTTGTATATATTGCACATTTGAGTTTTTTAGGTCGCTGATTACGATTCCATCATCAAAATTTCCAAAATTAAAAATGGTGAATCCAATATGGTGGATAAAAATCCTCAAAATTCTTCAATTTTAATGGAAATTTGTATATAGGGGTTTTTTGAGTCACCGGCATTCTTATTTTTACTTGGAATAACTCAGCGATTTTCAATCTATACACATCACAATAAATGTATATTCTATGTGAAAAAATAAGCATAGAATATGTTTTTCAAAATACTTTACCGTTATCCGGTTCTCACAGGAGGTGAACGTAAAATAAAGAGCCTTTGTTTTTTTATATTTTTTTATCATTCTGTTCCTTTGGTGATTTTTAGAATTTTTTGTTTTTTGTTATGTTTTATTACTTAAAATTTATATATGTTATGAGCATGGAAATAATAAGAAAAAATGAAAAATCGACAAAGAATTTGAAACATAGAACTTGAAGCTTTATTTTTCATTATAAAAAGACATGAAGCAGGACAAACATAAATGAATATTATAGTTTTTATATATTTTTTTGTGTTAGTGTAGGCGGCGGTATTGGCAGAAAGGCTAAGAGAAGAAGTGTAGGAAAAAGGGATGCTGCCAGGAAGCCAAACGGGATTCAGGAAAGGGATCGGGGCAATAGACCAGGTGTATGCGTTGAACTATGTGATAAACAGACAGTTGGGAAAAAAGGGAGGAAAGCAATGTTTGTAGACTTAAAGGCCGCGTTTGATTCGGTGGATAGGGAGAGATTAATAGGAGCGATGAGGGAGAGGGGAGTGAGGGAAGGACTGGTGGACAGAGTAGAGGAAATATTTAGGGAAACAAAGAATAGAATAAGGATAGGCAATAGGGGAAGAGTTTTGGACGGCAAAAGGGATTAGACAGGGATGCCCACTAAGCCCAATATTGTTCAACATAATGCTGGCGGATTTAGAGGAAGAGATTTCGAAGGGGAGGTGGGGAGGGGTAAGGATAGGTGGAGAAAAAGTGTATACCCTATCCTATGCAGACGACATAGTAATGATGGCAGAGGACGAGCAGGAGATGAAAATGATGATAAGCAGGCTGGAAAGATATCTAGAAGAAAAGGGGTTGAGATTGTAATACAAGGAAGACAAAGATGATGAGATTCAGGAGTGGGGAAGGAAGGAAAAAGAGGATGGAATGGAGGAAAAGCAAGAAACTAGAGGAGGTAAAGGAATACAGGTATTTGGGATATGTAATGCAAAATAACGGGGGACAGGAGGCACAGGAGAGAAAGAAATAGGAAAGCGGTGGTAGTGATGAGGGAAGTGTGGTATATAGGTAAAAGATTGTGGGGAAAGGACTGGGGAAGAAGGATATGGTTATATGACAAATTAGTATGAACGGTGATGGGATATGGAGCGGAGATATGGGGGTGGAAAGAAAGGAAGGAAATGGAAGGGACGCATGAAAGATATATAAGGTGACGATGGGAGCAGATTGGAGTACGCCAGGCTATATGATAAGAGAAGAGACAGGGAGAGAGAAGATGAGGAGGAGAGCAAGAAAAATGGCATGGAACTTTGAAAGGAGGCTGCAAGAGGGCAAAGGGGGGGAGGTGGCGAGAAGATGCTGGAAGGAGATGAGAGAGAGATGGGGGAGGGAGAAAGTGGTGGGAAGATGGAAACAGGAGAGAAGGGAGTTTATGAGAGAGAGTGAAATAGGGAAAGAAGAGCAGGGGGTGAGGGAGTATGAGACAATAGAGGAAAGAGACAGGGGAGCACAGAAAGAAGAAAGATGGCAAAGAATAAGAGAATCCAGATATAACAAGTGGTACAGATATATAAAGGGTGTCCCCCATGGGGATTTTCCAGGGAGTTTTCCATGAAACTTCAATACCGAAGAGTTAGGGTGGTTCGTTAATTTTAGGACACTCTGTATATACAGGGTCCTCAAAAAGTCCGGGAACGCTAAAATATTTCGAAAAATGTGAAAGACACGAAAAAATGTTTCATACAAAAGTTGTAGGGCTTAAAAAGATCTATTTAGTAGTCATATCAGTTTGACCATAGGTGGCGTTGCTAAGGTTATATGAAGGTCAACTTTGTTTTTTAAATGGAACCCCCTATTTTTTATTTGAAATTCTTGTAGCTTATCTTGAGAGCTTTCCAAAAAACTATAATGAAGTCATTTTTTATTAAGTTCTTTCCGAGTTATGACGCTTGAAAGTTACAGTACCGCCGGCATTAGCATTATGCAAAGTGTACCGCACGGAGGTTGCACGGTCGGATTTACACTTCGCGCGCGTGTGTATGTGTGTGTGTCACTACAGAGATCAGGACCCTACAGTTCGTCACTCCCGCAGTATTTTAAGACTCCAAACCCTTTCCGTAGTGTGTGTGTGTGTGTCTAGGTAACATTTTTCAAGCTATTGTTTTTTACTTTATCAATTAATCAAATGTTCAAAATGTCTTCCTTCTACTGTTTGGCAATGAGCTAAACGTTCATAGAAACTATTGATCATATGGCTTATTTGTTCTAAAGTGATCAGAGATGCTTCCTGCATTATTCGATTCTTCAGGTCTTTCAAATTACATCGTTTCATCGTATAAACCTTACTTTTGATGTGTCCTCAAAAAAAGAAATCAAAAGGAGATAGATTAGGTGATCCAGCAGGTCACTCAATGGCACCTCTCCTATCTATCCATCGATTAGGAAAAGAACGGTTTAAAAATTCTCGAACTCGCACCGCAAAGTGAGGTCCTACTCCATCCTGCTGGAATCGAACGTTTTGCATGTTTGCGTCATATAAATTTTCAATTTCAGGATGATATGATCTCGCAAAAAATTTTCATATTTTTCAGCATTTAAATTACCATCTATGAAAAATAGGCCTATAATACCGCGACTATAGATCACTGTCCAAACATTCAATTTTTATGGATATTGTGTGCGAAGATCACTCATCCAATGTGGGTTTTCGTCATTCCAATATCTACAATTGTGGCGATTAACAGCACCATTTATTTGAAACGTGGCTTCATCAGAAAAAATAACAAACTTCAAAACGTTAGCATTATCATCACATTGATGCATCAGTTCTTCACAAAACTGAATTCTTCTATCAAAATCATCTTCCATAAGTTCTTGAGCGATTTTATACGGATAATATTTATGCTTTTTTAAAATGTTAGAAACGCTACCTTTACTGATATCATGGGCTTGTGCTGTTTTTGATACGGACAAATGAGGATTTTCCTGAAATGATTGGAGGACATCCAAAGTCTTATTACCATTAGTTGCGGATTTTGGCCTTCCACTACGAGATCGGTCCTTAACTGTTCGCGTTTCAAAAAAACGAGTCACTGTTCTGCAAACGGTGGATTTAGAATAGGATCGAGATCAGGATGTGTAACATTGAATAAATCAGCTACTTCTTGATATGATCTAATACGGTCACCAAATCTTCGATAAATAAGCAATATTCTTTCTTTTTCGATCAACATTTTTCAGAGAAAAATGTGATATTATAATCGAAAAAAGGAACAAAAGAGACAAAGAGCGAGATACGAGCGAGCGCAATTCGTTTTTAGAATATGTGGACCGAGAAGCATCTCTGATCGCACCTCCGCGTGGTACACTTTGGGTAATGCTAATGCCGGCGGTACTGTAACTTTCAAACGTCATAACTCGGAAAGATCTTAATAAAAAATAACTTCATTATAGTGTTTTGGAAAGCTCTTGAGATAAGCTATAAGAATTTCTAATAAAAAATAAGGGGTTCCATTTAAAAAACAAAGTTGATCTTTATATAACCTTAGCAACGCCACCTATGGTCAAACTGATATGACTACTAAATAGATCTTTTTAAGCCCTACAACTTTTGTATGAAACATTTTTTCGTATCTTTCATATTTTTTGAAATATTTTAGCGTTCCCGGACTTTTTGAGGACCCTGTGTGTGTGTGTGTGTGTGTGTGTGTGTGTGTGTGTGTGTGTGTGTGTGTGTGTGTGTGTGTGTGTGTGTGTGTGTGTGTGTGTGTACATTCGCTTCTGAAATCATAATTTTATATTGTTACAACTCTGATAGAGATACCTGAGTAAGTGGATGACCGCGATCATCGGCGAATACCACACGTTTCTTCTGTTTGTTGTTTCGCAGCGCATCCAAAGTCAACGATCCCGAAGAAAGACATGGTCTAATTCTAGGTGGCACCGACCTATTGGTAATCGACGGTGCTGTGACCACCAAAGGACTATACAGCAGAGGATTATATACTGGAGGGCTATGCCCTAGGAGCAATTCAGTTGGCATCGCTATTGAACACATTTAGACCTACGAAAGAAAAAACTCATTTTTTTTAACTATCATTATTATAAACATAGATAATATTAAGTTTGATCAAACTTTCACGTTTTATTTATATTTTCATTTAACATCAAAGTTGCAAGCATCACGAAAAGTTTTAAATTATAAGCGGGAGATTTCCTATATTCATATAAAATCAGATGTGTGTGTATCTAAGTAATTTTAATGAAATTAATAACAATGTACATATACTTCTACCATATTCTCTATATTTTACTTTATTCTGTATATTATAATTTTTTACAAAATTTTCAATTTAATGAAATTATGGTACTGTATATTATACGACTACAATATTCCCACTTATAAGCTTATTAATTATGTTTTTATATTTCAACTATAATTATAAAGCCATTAAAATATTTGCAGGATATCACATATGTGATAAAGGGTTTTATTTATTATATTCTAAAGTTCAAGTGTTTATATACAGGATGTCCGGGATTTTTTGGAAACGAAAAATTGTGAAGATTAATCAAATCAAGCTGAGAAGAAAACTCACGTATCATTTTGCAAAAATCGCAATAGTTATTAAGTTATTAATGATTGAAAATGATCATATCTAGAGGCTCTTTTAATTGATAACTGGAAAATTTGTGTACTTATTTGCAAAATGATAATAACTTTTTTGTTCAAAATGACCTAATCTACAATTATATAACAGCTATTGTGTTTAACAATGGATATGAATATATTAAATTTTGAACTTTAGATCTTGAATCTATCGCTAGGCATAATAGCCGTCATATAACTGTAGATTGTTTTTCATTTCCAAAAGACCCTGGACACCCTATATATAAAGATCCATTATGCTGTAAACTTGCTGTAAACTATATCATGTCGTGGACGAAATTATATTCCGGTTCAATATAGTATATCAAAGTCAAAACTGTCATTAATGTACCTCGTTCTCCTTCCTCCTTATCTTCTTAAAATTTTTATTAATCATTCCGAATCATTACCAGTTCAAATGGATTATTATAATCTTGATACTACTTATTAATTACTTAATAATTATTAATTACTTGATAATATCTGATATATATATATATATATATATATATATAGTGTCTGTCACAACATACGACAATGTTCGTATGTGGATAGAACGGATTAAAATAAATAAATAAAAAAGTTATCTTCCATTTCTTAACTCTTTGAAGTATATATTTCTCTGTTCAACAGTTTTTCATGAAAATTTGCATATAATGGTTTTTGGTGTCGCTGATTATGAATCCGCTGTCGGAATTTCGAAATTCAAGATGACGGATCCAATATGGCGAACCAAATTTTAAAAGATTTTTTATTTCCATGAAAATTCGTATATAGGGGTTTTTGGGGTCGCTGATTACGGATTCGCTGTCGTCTGTGCATAAAAGGAAGAATCTTGTGGCTACTCAAAAATAAAAAGTCCAAAAAAGTGAAATAAGAGAAAACAAAAAATTATGAAATTATTAAAAACAAAAAAATAAAAAAAGGAAACGAAAAAGATAACGACAAAAAATAAAACAAATATATATACAGGGTGTTCGATTTAATCTGTCCAGGCCGATATTTCGAGAACTAGCAAAGCTAGAAGAAAAATCAAAAAAGGTTCTTCAATGGCCTTACTTTGAGATGATTTTCCACGCGGTGAAACCGTACTTTTCCGTATCGGACTTCGAGGGAGGAGGGCCGTTCAAATTTTTTAAATGGAAACCCTCTACGAAAATAACATTAATCAATAGGACTCGAGATGACGAATACCTCTTCATGACTCTTCCGAGCATCATTACACTTTAAACAATTTTAATAATCTTCTATCATTATTGCGCTATGTGGTCGTTTTATTTTGTGAGCCATGGGTTGATATCCATCCATCTCCAACTTGTACCACTAGGTACAAGTAACAATGCCTCTTTCTCTAGTCGCCGTGCGCTTTGGATAGCACTAAAGATGTTGCTTCCGAACGACATCTCTTAACGTTATCTAGGGAGAGGAGAATGTCATGAACGTGGAGCGTCAGGTAGCTCAGTGGTTTAGAGCAATCGCCCGGCAAGCGAAAAACCCGGGTTTCGATTCCCGGTCTAGCGACTACCGCGCTCTCGATATTTTTCTCTCTTCGGAACGAAAATAAGATGCAGGTCCCGAACGCACGGCGTCCCGTCGCTACCTAGTACGCCCTCCTTCTTTCATGGTTGATAATACGTTGTATATAGCAAAAAGACAAAAGATAAGACTAAGAAACTAAAAAACAATAAATGGAAAATAAAAAGTAAAACAAAAATAAAAATTTTCATAAATAAAAATAAACATTTTTTTAGATTTTAATTTTCGGCATTGGATAGTTATTTATCGGATTTCATCGGTTGACAAAACTGCTCCAATTCTGACAGCGGATTCATACCTGCGATCCTGAAAATTTCTACATACCAATTTTCATGAAAATCAAACATTTTTTAAATTTTTGGTCCGCCATATTGAATCCGCCAACTTAAATTTTGAAATTCCAACAGCGGATTCATTATCGATGACCCCAAAAACTTCTATATACCAATTTTCACGGAAATAAAAAATTTTTTAAATTTTGGTCCGTCATTATGAATTCCGAAATTTCGTCAGCAGATTCATAATCAGCGACCTCAAAAACCCTTCAATGCAAATTTTCATTAAAACTTTTGAATAGAAAAATGAATCTTCAAAGTTTTAAAGTGTTGTATATATGCAATACTATGCCGCAAAAGGTTAAAAAACTACGTAAAATTTTGAGTTATTAGTGAAAAAAGATTCACAAATCAGTACATGGATGTGATAAGACGACGCACTCGTATGAAAAATGGCTAACTGTATGATCATCTTTTAGCAGTAATTTATATTGAATGCTACGATAAACAATCATTTATACGCCACTCACACTTTTCCCACGCCACTTTTTTCCGCTTTTCATTGTTATCCGATATTGATCATTGTTAAAAGACGATTGCGCGACCAACTATTTTTCATGCGATCACGCCGTCTCATTATATTGCATGCGCTGATAATTATCTTTCGTTAACCCTTTAAGGACCGAATCAAATCCATAAAAAGATCCAGAAGTTCCAAAAATTAAAATCCGTCATATTTCGCTGAAAATCTGTACATGAGGGTTTTAGTGATGCTGAATACGAATTTCATGTTAAATTCCCGAAATTTAAGATAGTAGATCCAATATGGCGGATTGATCACGATAATTCCCGTATTTTCGAGAAGAATAAATTCACTCAAAATCCACGTTCAGGTTTTCTAAGTGCTGACTGCAAATTATTCGCAAATCGCGTCCGAAAACAAGTTCGATATGTGTAAAATATATGTAAAAATTGCAAGGTCGCATTATATAAAGATACATGTTTCGATAAGTACCACGAACTGTAGAAAAATAGTGGAAAAGTTCGATAATTGAACAGAAGAGAAAAAAGACGGAGGAATAAGAAAGGAGATGATGAAAGACATGTAAGAATGAAAAATAACAAAAAAATTAGGAAAAGTGGAAGGAAAATGAAAATTATGAAACAATAAAAAATGCAAAAATTAAAAAAAGCACAAAAAAATAAAAAATAAAAAATGAAAGAGTGGGATGTTAAATCCAATTGACAACCCTCTCCAATCCATAAAATAGTTGTGGGGGATGCATCCTGCAAAATACATTTTCAACAAATGTATTCACGAATGTCAAGAGTAAGAATTTTTTGCACATACAGGGTGTCCCATTTTAATGTCCCACCTCAAATAACTCTTCAGTATTGAAGTTTCAAGGAAAATGATCCGAATAAAAGTTGTAGGGATTTAAGTGAGCTACTTTAGGATGACCTTGACTTTGACCTTGACCTTTATTTTCAAGGTCATTTAAAGGTCAACTTGCGCTTTTTAAATGGGAACCCTTATTTTTTATTACACTGTTTTTTTCTACTAGTTAATTTGAACAACTTTTGTCTAAAACATTTTTTTATTTGTCTGATATTTTTTGAGAAATTTGAGGAAAACTTGATAACTTTTTCAATATTTAATTTACGATATCTCGCTAACTATTTGTCGGAAGAAAAAGTGGTACTAGACTTTCTTGCTTTATTTAGTCTCAAGAATATATTGTTACAATAGCATCCTGACTTTTGTTAACTTACTGACTTTTTGGAATTCCAAAATCATCAAATTAACAAAAATCAAGGCGCTATTGTAACAATATATTCTTAAGACTAAATAAAGCAAGAAAGTCTAGTACCACTTTTTCTTCCGACAAATAATTAGCGAGATATCGTAAGTTAAATATTGAAAAAGTTATCAAGTTTTCCTCAAATATTTCAAAAAATATTAGACAAAAAAAATGTTTTAGACAATAGTTGTTCAAATTAATTAGTAGAAAAAAAACAGTGTAATAAAAAATAATGGTTCCCATTTAAAAAACGCAAGTTGACCTTCAAATGACCTTGAAAATAGAGGTCAAGGTCAAAGTCAAGGTCATCATAAGGTAGCTCACTTAAATCCCTACAACTTTTATTCAGATCATTTTCCTTGAAACTTCAATACTGAAGAATTATTAGGGTGGTCCATTACTTTTGGGACAGCTTGTATATTACGTATATTATTTATATCTATAACTTATGCGAATAAATATTTTCTTATATGTGTTTGTAAATATTTTTATATCTGAATTTGATTCTGATTTTTATTCCTTTTATTGTAAGTTTCCTGAAATTAGTCAATCATTTATATTTAATAAAAAACGATAAACGTCATTTTGTTAAAAGACAGAATTTCACATATGGAATCAGGTCAATCAAGCCTTACACGAATATATTATAGAAAATATATATATTAGTGGGTTGTGAGGTAACAGTGGACTGTAGTTTCTCTCGCACTTCGCAAACTTCGCAAACAATCTCTTTTCGTCCTTACTTCGTTGCTTCGTTACTTCTTCTTGTTGTGTATTGTTTTTTCGCTCGCTCTTGTCTCGT